ATGTACCTTTTATCTGAGCCATTTTTTATTCCATGGGAGCTTCCATCAGTTCCATGTTTGTTTTTTAGAAGAGGCCCAACTTCACTTCTCTTTTGTCATAGCATTGACGTCAGGATGATTAAGGATGTATTCAACATTCTTGCCAATCCAAGTAAATTTTCCAGTTACTTCCACAATCTCTTTGCAGCAACAGTACTCTGAACACTCGCCAGATTTTGATCGGCAAAATTCCCACACGAACACCTACAACAGAAATAAATAATTAGGCAAATATCAGGGAAATATTGCATGAAAATCATAATAAAGTAACTTAGTATTGTTTGTAGAACTCACCAATTTGATAATGGAATATTTTTTCTAAACGTTTCTCCAAAACAGATCCTGTTCCTCGTCAGAAGATTCGCTGTCGTCTGTACTGGCAATAGTTCCCCTTGATACGGCTCAAAACAATTCGTTACGTTCATATTTCCTTCTAAATTGCTCTCCGTTATGTTATCAGACTCTAAGCTAGAGTAACTAAGAGAATCTTCGCTGTGCGACATAGTAAAAGAGTAGAAATCACGATAAAATATTATATACAGCGCGATAATACAAATGTTCTTTACCGTTTATATTGAGAATGTCAACATGTGTGTACAACCAGTGACGTCACGCGCTGTTTTCACTCGGGTCCAGACCCCGGGACAAAAATTAGCCGAATTGCTGAACTTTGTAGCTTAAAAAATCCACTTTAAAAAATCGCGGGGCGAAAATAAAATACAGCATGATATTCAGCGTATTTTAAACTATAAAATCAGCACAATTTCAGAAAAAATTTTCAGCCGTTTCATAAACACTTTAAGTTGAAAAATATATAGTGAAATATGATAAAAAATGCATGGATTTTAAAAAGTTAAAAAATATTTTTTATAAGAAAAGTATCAAAAATTTTCTGCTTATTACACAATTTCTTATGTTCCCTTTGAAGTATTTCGTCGTGAAATCGCAGGAAATGGTCATTCCAGACTTCTAAAATTCCAGACTTCTAAATTTCGCTACACTTTAAAAACTGGTAGGTTAAAACAACCTATTTCTAAAGGTTGCAACCAATAATTAAAGGTTGTTTTAACCAATTGAATGGGTTAGAACCGATTTAAATTAGTTAAAATAACCTATTATTATCAGGTCAAATTTTGCGACCAATAAAAATAGGTTAATTTAACCAATCTTTTTGGTTAAGCAAATTTACCGATTGGTTATTATTCCCAAATAGGTCATTATAACCATTATGATTAGGTCAAAATCACTGAAAACTAAATTAACCTATATGAAATATGTTCAAATATTTAGTTCAACTTACGACATATACTTTCAATTTCAAGGAGTTATTCTCACTCGACTCCGAGTTAAAAGTCATTTATTAAATCGTATAGTAGAAGGGAAATAGTGAGTAATTTTCCACCAAGTTTTTACTCGGCCTGTGTATTAATGTATTATAACTCGACAATCACACATAGGAATGACAAAAACTATATTCAAGTTTCTTCAACCCAGAATTAGGGCGATATTTTCTATACAAATTCGCAGTGAAGGACTGCAGTTCGTGTAAAATCAACCCAAGATTTAATCCAGCTGGTTGACGCGCCGTTTTTCTCGAATATTGCCAAGTCAGATTCTTGTAATGTACAAGTATATCGGACCATATCGGCTTCTTATTGTTCGATCGCACGCGACGATCGAATGTAGCCAGAAATTGTCAGCGAGTTTTTCTTGTCAAATTAATTTAGCACCAGCATTGCTCTCATCTATTTTTTGCTGCGTAAATCTCTATTATAAATTATAATTACCCGCGTTTGCCAGAGATTCTGTAATTTGAACTTGTGGAATGTTTTGCTGCTGAATTCTGCTGAATAAATTTTCAACAAGTGGTAGTTCCAAACTTTCAACCAATTAACATGCTTAGAATATATCACGTGTTGTAGTAATTCGATCTGTATGACACATTGACAACAAGCGCCAAGTTCGATATTATAAAGTTCGAAAGACCTAGTAAAATACATGGAATTTGAAAGGTATGTCTATTGTGTATTTACTCATTTGTATGCGCATAGTTACTTGTCATACTGTAGTTATATTTTTATTAAAATCGAAGGCCTGTATTTTATATTACGTCGCTTCGCCGCCGATTCACTGAAAGCATCTGGACGTTTAGTTGTAAATTTTCGATTAACTTCTATTAGCAGAAGTCTATAAGTCTAATCTACAGTCTCCACGTATATGTGTTCAGAAAATCGTATAGCTTATTTGTGTGATATGCATTTGTATGTTGTAATTTTCTGTTAAATATTTGCTATAAAGATGCTTGTGATGTTTTATAATACTCTGAGCTAGTGTATATCCACACCGGGCAAGCTTGAAAAATATGCCTGTCCACGGTGGGAATCGAACCTACGAGCTTTGGAATACTAGCCCAATGCTCTGCCAACTGAGCTACGTGGTCAGGTCGGTTCGAGTATGTGATATTTCGGAACAGAATCTAGTTCCTTTGATACCAATGTAATTTAGTAATCATGATATTTTCTGTGTTGATGCAATGTACTCAGGTGAATATATGCTTGTGATGTTACTCTGAGACTCATATATTCACCTGAGTACATTACATCAACACAGAAAATATCACGATGAGTGTATATCCACACCAGGCAAGCTTGAAAAATACGCCTGTCCACGGTGGGAATCAAACCTGCGGACAGATTTAGAACTAGATTCTGTTCTGAAATATCACATACTCGAACCACAGTTAAGGACTTTGCTCGAACCGACCTGACCACACAGCTCAGTTGGCAGAGCATTGGGCTAGCATTCCAAAGGTAATAGGTTTGATTCCCACCATGGACAGGCATATTTTTCAAGCTTGCTCGGGGTGGATATACACTCAGTGTAACTTCACAAGCATCATATTCACCTGAGTACATTGAACGCGTTCCAAAGAATTTTGAACAATTCCAAACTTTGAATTTTTACTAAAATTTGCGATATTTTGCGGAATTTTCGCATTTTTCTGCCAAAATACTGTTTATTTTCCAATTCATAGTGATTTTTCCACAGATTTCAAAGAAAAAGACGATTTCCTGCGAACTAGTATCGAAATTTTATTTATGTATAATCTTGATTTTCGCTGACAGCAATTTTTCTGGCTTACGTTTTTGTTGTTTTTCTAAAATTTGTGCAAAGTGTGTTCACTCTACTTCTAAAAGAGATCAAAATGAAAGAAATTGGTAGAAAAAACCTTATTTTTAATGTTTTTCGCTTAATATTCTGATAACTGGTCATTTTACTGCAAAATTCTTAACTTTTAACCAAAAGAAATGAGCTGTCTGCTAAAATGCAAGGGAAATAGAACAACTGGTTAAATATATAAGGATGTCTGAAATTCAGACGGCCATATAGCTCGAAATAGAATATAAGAGTGTCTGAAATTCAGACGCCCATATAACTCGAAATAAAATATAAGAGTGTCTGAAATTCAGACGCTCATATAACTCGAAATAGAATATAAGAGTGTCTGAAATTCAGACGCCCATATAACTCGAAATAAAATATAAGAGTGTCTGAAATTCAGACGCTCATATAGCTCGAAATAGAATATAAGAGTGTCTGAAATTCAGACGCACATATAGCTCGAAATAGAATACAAAAGTGTCTGAAATTCAGACGCACATATAACTCGAAATAGAATATAAGAGTGTCTGAAATTCAGACGCCCATATAACTCGAAATAAAATATAAGAGTGTCTGAAATTCAGACGCCCCTATAACTCGGAATAGAATATAAGAGTGTCTGAAATTCAGACGCCCATATAACTCGAAATAAAATATAAGAGTGTCTGAAATTCAGACGCCCATATAACTCGAAATAGAACATCAGTGAACTCTATGTAAACTGGAACGTTAACTCGGGGGGGTGGGGAGGTTAAGCCGGTGCATTTTAGTTTTTCTGAGTTTTGAGCAGTAATACTTAACACATGAAGTTGTGCTGTATGTGAAACTGAAGTTATTGGAAGACGTTACTTGGTGTAGAAATTTCAAAACTTTAGCTTAAAGGGAAATACTTAAAAACTACAAAATTAATTGTCAGTTGTTTTTGTAGCTTCAGTTTCAAATACTGCGCAATGTTTGGTGTCAAGTATTTCAGATCAAAACTCAGTAAAACTATTATGGCTTCAGCGAATCATGGGGTTATCGTTCCAGTTAACATAGAGTTCACTGTCGAACATTAGAACCCAGGTTTTCGGGCCTCGGCGCTTAATATTCAATTAATATGGCGGATTCAGTGTAATCTTCCCAGCGGTTAAATCGAGGAATGCACATTTGCCCGACGCCATCTTGATGACTTGGGTCTCAGTTATGATGTCATAGTATCTATCATGAATGATGTAATCAAAACAAACGAATTCGCGGGAAAATGAAAATATTGGATTCTGATTGGATAATTGTCGCTCGCATGCCTAAATACTGAATTGTTATGTATATAAATAAAGCTAGTCTATAAATCACAATAAATGCACTTTTGATGCTTTTACATCATAAATAATATATTATAATGACTTATTCTAGCTTTTGATTTCATATAAAAGAAAATAAACCGATCGAAAATACAAAATAACAGCATTTCGCGTATCGACATTTTTCACAGTGATTTGTATGCATTGATCGACACTTACTGGCACGCAAATTTACTTTCGTATAGTGAGCACATAGTTGTGTTCACGGTAGATAGAAATTCCAAAAATACCCTTTGATTCTGCATGAAATTCTATATCAACAGCCCTAGTTTTCCTTTTTAATTCAAAAACTTACCCGAAATATTCGCCCTTTTATAATACTCTAAAACTCGAGTCTTTACCCTGCTATAGGTATTTGTGTACAGAGTAGATGGAAAATCGGAGAACACCATTGAATTCGCCATAAAAATCAGCATCTTTTCATAGTAAATATCTCTAGTCAATTTAATAAAGTTAGGGTCCTGGTTTCTTCACCTCTTGGTCCTGGATACACTTTTATCCAATCTTATATGTTGTAAATTCTGTTATGCACAGCTTTTATTGAGATTTAATAGTTTTAGCATTGTCATATCAAACAAACAAAAAACAAAACAAAAACCAAAAAAAATCCAATGAAAGTTTGAAATGTAAATAGAGCTTAATAAGAAAATGTGTACTGTATACTTTGAGACTATGTCTTTGATATTCTGTAATGTATTGATCAATTTGAAACTTCAGCATCCCCCCCCCCCTTTGGGCATATCCCAGGAATTTGACTTCAGTCTTTTCCAGGGAGTAGGGTCTGTAGGGAATTTGACGTTCTAAATCTTCCATTTAGTGGGGCATTTGATATTAAGGGTGGGGAATTTGAACCGGAAGTCTTAAAATTTTGCCCATTTCTGTGTGCTTTCTGCATGCACAAAAAAGCTTTGCATTGGCGGCAAACACAGTTTTCTTGGATTTCGAGGGAATTAATTATGAAAAACTGGCTCAAAGAATCAGGCATGTGAAAGCTATGTGGTTCATTTGAAAGTATGTACTACAAAATTGTGTGAAACTGTTAAATTCCCATAAGGTTTCCAAACTTTTTAAGTGAATTTCTCTATCTTGCCAATAAATATAATTTCCCTATATTTTGTAATTTTTGTATTTTACTGTTTGGACGTTTAATTTCTTGTTACAGTGGGGCATTTGAAGACTTTTTGACCAGTCAAATTTAAAAAAGTTCAAATTCCCAGGATTGGCCCTGGTGAAATTTTGAATTGATTGATACATAAGTTGAATATAAAATTTTATGCATTTCACACCCTTGGAGACTTTTAATAAGGCTCACTAGCAAAGTATAAAATATGATAACTCTGATCAAAATATCAAAGCTCATACAGAATGAGTGATATGTCATTTTGTAATGGTTCATTGAAGGAATTATGTCTATTCAGGAATTGTAATATACTAATATTCATAACTAATTAATTATATGACTGGCAACACTGTATTGGACAATTTTGCTTGTTTGAAATCATCTTGCGCCAGTCACTCTAGCTTACATTAGGAAGCCTAGGAACAGTTGTTTTGATTCTATATGTCTTTTACCCTTTTGGCTTCCTCGCGATACCACCGTTTTATAAACTTCCGGGTATTTTCAAAGAGATGGTTGTTCTCATCAAGTTCAAATGAACATACAATCACTGACTGTTTTGGGAGAGTGTCATTCCAAGGTATTTGTCCTTCTTTGCTCTTCACCATACTGTAAGTGGTTGCCAGGCTGTATTATATGTGCCCTTCCAATAGTCCAGTTTAAAGTCAATATCACAAACCTCAGTTACCTTTCCAATGACTGGTTTCTTCTTGTAATTGCTAATATATACTGCCACAAACACTCCAGGGGAAAGTGCTTCAAGATAGTTGTCATCATGTCGAATGCCACGAACAGCAGGCGGTTGATATGGTCCTGTATAAATCTGAAAGGAAAAGATTAGCTGATTTGCAAGCTTGTTTTGTATGGTCATGCATGCATGACAGCAGAGTCTTTACAGTCAACTTGGCCCACCTTCAAGGACCAACTCTCCCTGCTTGTAAACTGACTAATCTAACCACCAAACAACCTACTACAATGAGCCGTGACTGGGTTCTATCTGCAAATTTTGAGAGAAATTTGATTGATCAGTAATTTAGTATCAAAACGGACAGATTGAGAATTTGAAACTTTGATAGATTCTTTAATCAAATTAAGTGAAACTGAATGTTCTCAAACTTTACTCATCTGTATGCCTAATGTACTGCAAATGGCTGTATTGGGTTAGTGCTAGCTTTTATAAAATATTATCTTTCCTAATATATCAAACAGTAGTTAATAATTGTGCCAAGAAGGTATGGGTTGAGT